GTCAATCTGCGTCAAAATAAAAATTATAACCTATATTTTAAAGTATAACCTTATAGTGTAATTTTTAGACATTAAATTTCTAAGTACGATTATAGAAGTTACATACAGAGTTTGAGAATCGCTGGACAATTTTTTTCGAATAACATACATATTATCTTTATAGATCACACGTGTTCCACGACAGTAGCCTCAATTTTTAAATATATTTTTTCCTCGCCCACTACTATCATGGGTGATGGACATATTTGGGTTTTACAGGCGTAACTTTAAGACCACACAGTTAAAAATTAGTCAGAAAGTAGGACTCTATCTATAACATATTAAGCAGGGGAAAACATCAAGACCACGACAATTTGTTTACTGCCAAAATAATGTCTTTTTTAGCAGATTTTGTAATTTGAAAATTAGTTGATCCTAAGTCGAACAAAAAAAAAACTATACATTTTTTTGTAAAACATAAAACTGTTTAAAACTATACATTATATACGTTTTATTGTAAAATATAACTCTGTTTCATGTGTTAAGATTTGAAGATTTTTCATTTTTTTACATTGCTACAGTAATTTCAGAAAAATAATTCAAACCCTTAAATACACAAACGACGAAACGACCTATAAAAACAACTTGTTTTTTCTGAAAAGCAATAATAAAGTTTAATCTTATGACCAACAGACGTTTGCCATTTGTTTACATTGCAACAGACGTTGTGAAATATTCGAATACATATAAAAAGCTCTTTATGTAGCTAAAAATGATGGGAAACAAAATTACATTGTAATAATATTAAAAAACATTTTTTTTTATGAAGAACATGTATTTCGGCAATCATTGTTTTATTTTTTGTGTTTCTGATCGTTTGGATTTTGTACTATATTTTTCCAAAAATGTAGCGAATACAAATTTTGTATTAAAACCAATAAGGATACTTAAAATAATTTTTTGTTACCTACGTACATCTTGACGTTTTCTAGTTAACACATTTTTTTTTTATTATGTTCTTATTAAATAATAATAAATGTGTTTTTAGCTTTTGTATAAACAGAAGATTTAACGAAAATACAATAATCCAAATGTCTATTTAAATTACTTATTTCAATCCGTACGACAAAAAGATAAGGACGAAGGTCCTTGAGTTTAATTGTTACTATTTTAAGTATAGTATATTAAATTACAACTTGTATAAAAAAGTTTAGCTAAAATGTCTGTGTTGTACAAAGTCAACATTACCTTACATTACATACATTATTTTACATAAACAAAAATTTAACAAAAAACAAAAATACTAAGTACTTGTTGAAATGTGAATTGTAAAATGGTATAACCATTTAAAATCAATAAATCCTGGGACGAGGGGAAGGATGATAATCACTCAGCGTCAAAATGAAAATTATAACCTATCTATTAGAAGGATTTGTTTAACTCTAAACTGGATCTGGGGCCCACAAATTTCTGTCTACGTTACTGGATAACATCCATATAACACATAAAAACCTTATGGTTAAAAATTATTCAGCAGACAAGACTCATGTTTATCTATAACATACTAAACAAGGCAAATTTGAGGACTACACATTTTTTTTGATTGCCAAAAAAGTGTGTTTTTCGCAAATTTTGTGAATTTTAATACAAGCACGTTCAAGTTTGAAAGTAATTATCAATTTAAGTCAATATTTTTATACACATGTATTTAAAGTGATCTTATTTAGTTTTTGTACGTGTTTTAGTATTTTTAATTTTAACTTATTTTAAATCATATTTTTTCGGCAGGGTAAGCCGTTGATCGGGTTTTTTCATGTTAAAGTTACTTTGTTAGGTACAAAATGTAAAACACTTTACCCCTTCACTCATTTTAAAATCGAAAAAATTTACATACGATATGATCGCATTTTTAAACTTAAAATTACGGCAATCATTGTTTTATTATTTGTGTAACGAAAATACAATAATCCAAATATAAATTACTTATTTCACCCCTTACGACAAAAAGATAAGGACGAAGGTTTTTGAGTTTAATTCTTACTATTTTAAGTATAGTATACTACATCATTACCTTACATTACATACATTATTTTACATATGACAAATGCCAGTTTGAGTCATCCTGTTTTACCATTACAATAGTAGGTAGTCATATTTGACAAAAAACCAAATGTCCATAGATTATATTTTTCAGGATTAAAGTTAATATGATAAAGTTAATATAATTGTAACATAAAGTAACATAAGTAGTAGGAAGTCTTATTTAGTTTTTGTACGTGTTTTTAATTTTAACTTATTTTAAATAATATTTTTTCGGCCGGGGTAAGCCGCTGATCTGTTTTTTTCTTGTAAACGTTAATTCACATGAATAATTTTCAGATATATCCGTGTCAATGGTTGTTAACCAACGTTTCGGACCCTTTGCAGGGTCCATCTTCAGGGTCATGTCACGACTGTTCCGCTGCCGTGATTGTACGACAGCGAAATTATTCATGTGATATTTCAATCCGCGAAAGCATCAACACATTCATAAAAGTTACTTCGTTAGGTAAAAAATGTAAACATTTCACCCCTTCCTCATTTTAAAATCGAAAAAATTTACTTACGAAAGGATCGTATTTTTAAACTTAAAATTCCGGTTGAGCTACAACTTGTTGTAATAATAGTTTAACTAGTTGGCTTTAATCCAAAGGTTTTAAATGTTAGACTGAAGGTAAGTTTTGAGTAAAATAATGAGGGAAATCTTACTATGACCGTAATAAAGTTAAGTTAAGTCAAAAGGTGTATAAAAAATGTTTAATATGAAAATAAATTTCATATACGGCCGTGAATAACAGTGTTACCATTGCGCTTGATTTATCTTCACTTAAGTTTTCATACACATACTGTATACACAAAAATAATACATTAACAATGAACAATGTGCAGCATATATCTCTCTATATTGTAGGTTGTGGGGTAAAAGTTGTGGTAATATATAGGCTAAGATGGAGTGTTTGGAGTATCGATATTAAACCAGGTTCTTGATCCAAAAATAATAACTTCGTGGTTTTTTACACGTTTTTTATTTGTAACAATAGTACACAACATGTATTTTTTTGGCCAAACTTTTCAGCAAAATATGAACACATACTGTATACACAAAAATAATACATTAACAATGAACAATGTGCAGCACATATCTCTCTAAATTGTACAAGCAGCAAACTTACAGTTGCTCTAGTATAGTATTCTACATCCTTGCTGTTTAGCGATATTAACTACTTGAAAAAATGAATTTGAAAAGCATAATTTGTATTTTAGTCACCATATTTTGTATAATGATGCCGGGTGTAACGCTCCAGGTCCAACAGGTATAAAAAACCTTTTTAGTATATAATTTTTTATATATTTTTTTTTTATAGCATCTCCGGCCAACAAAATTATTTCAAATATTTCGAACACTGTGGTCATTTTTATCCGTTTTTCGACTTATTTATGGAATTTTATCTCGTAATTTACCTTTTTTATACCTCATCAAATTTTTTTTTCTAAGAGTATTAGTAAACACAATTTTAATGACTTTCTGTTACGCGAAAAAAAAATTCAGAAGGCTGACATTATTTAACATAAAAATCTGATTTGTAATCACTTTTGTTTGATGGACGAAGATACTATAAAAAATAATAACCAATTTTACAAATATATCTTATACGTGGAACATATACATGGCTATAATAACACTAATCGCTTTTTGATTAAAATAAAAGTATATAATTTATACTTGATAATTTATACACAAGGATAAAAACAAGTAAATTAAATTATTTTATTATTAAATTATTTTTAATTAAGCTTAAATTGTGTATAAAATGCTACAATTATTCACCCTTCTTGGTGGTTCACTTTAATTTTATTACTAAAATTTATACTTCAATTAGCATTTTAATAACATCATATTTAGGACACTATTTAAGAATATTAATTTGAAAAGCTAATTCTAATTATTATAACAACCGTGTTATGCATTATCATATCTATGTCTGAAGGTAGGTACATAAAAAACATTTGATATACAAATGTAGCAATAGTGAGGCTTTGTTAAAATAAATTGCTTTTCCATTTGAGTAAAATATTTTTATTAAGACTTATTATGATTTATTGTTATGAAAAATAAATTCAAAATTTTACTTATACTCATTAGATTATTCATATTATACAAATATATTTTTAATATATTTGTTATTAAATTTTTATTCGATGATCTGATTTTAATGACTGATATAACTTTTTTTTTCGATAGATTATAATAGCAGTTTTAAAATAAATAATTTGCCTTTATAATAATATTTAAGTAGACAATTGTAATAGACATAATATCTTTTATATGAAAGGTAACAAATAAAATGTTATTTAGAATACATTGATAGTAGAAAAATCTTAGAAGAAAAGGTTGAAACACAATTATGATAAACAAAGGTGAACATTTTAAAATATACACATATTAGTAAGTAAGCATATGAATTTTCAGAATGTGATACGGATCATGCGGTTTGTTGGTAAATTTATCTGTCGTTAGCGTCGGTTAGTTATTATCTAAAATAAATTTATTTGTTAAAAAATTGTGTAAAAAATCATTTATTTTAAATTATATTACACATGAATTTTAATTCAAATGAAGTTAGGCTCCTTTATAAATTACTATGTACAAGACATTTTCCTTTCAAATACAATTTTAGGATTTACTAATACTCATTATTTTAATTTTGAAATAATTGTCGTTTTAAAATATTAAACTATTATGTGTAAAATAATCGTTTATAACAAGTTTTAAATATAATAATTCAACATTTTCAAATATATTGAAAAAAATTTTAAATCTTAAAGTATGTTTGTAAATCACAAAAACTTATATTATCAACCAACTTAAAGTCATTAAAAAAACAAAAGATAAAATTGCATAAAAAAATTACACTTTTTTAGCCTATGTAAGTTTTATACAATCTCAAAAACTCACCTGGTGATGGTGGTGGTGCTGGTGTTGGTGGTGGTGGTGGTGGTGTTGGTTCTGCAATGAATTCCTTAACTAAAAAATAGAAAAAAATTACTTAAATATAAATTTTTCTATATCCTAGTGCATCATACCTAAACTATATATATTTATTTTGATCCCAAACCATTTAATTTTCTTATAGCCACATGTAATATTCTTAAAATAGTATTATCCCAAACTGGATATGCAAAATTATACAATATGTTCATGGACATGTCAAATGTATTCTTATTTTTGACAACATAAGGCATTTGTAGCATTTTATACACATTTTAAGCTTTATTGAAAAGAATTAAAAACTACTAGTATGCTTGTATATTTGTAGAGCTTATAAACTGATATTATCAATTAACTTACGTCCATCACGCCCCTCGTCACCTGAAAAATTGAAAAAAAAATTACTTAAATATTTATTTTTTATCCTTATGTATAAACTATCATGCATAAATTATATGTATGTATGTTTCACGTTTAAGTAATTTATGTAAAAAAAATGTATGACTGGATAAACAAAATTATATAATATTGCTAATGACCATATAACTTTATATCCCACTGTAAACATTTTTTTAGAGAAACACGAAAAAAATTGTATTTCTTTATTTATTAACAGTACCTAACAAACATTTCTAAGTTTTTCGTTTTCAATTTCCCATTTAATATGAGTTTTAATTATCTACTTAAATATTATTATAAAAGTTATGAAGTATTTTAAAACTGCTATTATACCTTATCGAAAAAAAAGTTATACCAGTCATTGAAGTCGGAACAATTATATTTTAAAATATTCCAATTACTTTTGAAACAAAAAAAATAAATTTGTAAAATATAAATAACTTTATGAGTATATAATCTAGTTTTGAATTTATTTTTCTAAAAAAATCATCACATGTCATATTAAAAATGATTTATTTATATTATGGAAAAGCATTTTATTTTAACATAACCTCATTATTATGACATTTGTATACTAAACGATTTTTATGTACTTACATTTTGACATAGATATGATAATGCATAACAAGGTTGTTATAATTAGAATTACGCTTTTAAAATTCATATTCCTAAATAGTATCTTAAATATGTATTTTTAAAATGCTATATTAAATACAATTTTTAGGAATAAAATTAAAGTAAACCACCAAGAAGGGTGAATATTTGTAGCATTTTATACACATTTTAAGTTTTATTAATAATAATTTAAACTCTGCTAACAAATTTGTAATGCCCGTAAACTGATATTATCCATTTACTTACGTTCATCTTCCGAGTCACCTGAAATATTTAAAAAAAAAATAACTTTTTTTATCCTCGTGTATAAATTATATACATTTTTTTTAATCCAAAAGCGTTTAGTTTCATTATAGCCATATATATATAAATGTTCCACGTATAAGTTATATAAAAAAATTTTAATACTGAATAAACAAAGCTATATAATATATTGCTAATAATCTAATAATATAGGTTGGCAAATGTCTACATATATATTATTTTAAAAGTAGGTTTTAAGTCATTTTAAATCTGCTATTATACTTTAACGAAAAACTAAAAATAATATTAAGATATAAATTATGTAAGTCATTGAAATACGATTAATAAATAAAAATACAGCTATTTAATTTTAAACTTACTTCCATAAACACCTAAAACATGAAAAATAGATTTGTAGAACATAAATTAATTAATAACGATAAAAAATTAATTTAATTGTAAAAAAAAACCCTGTTTTGAATTACAAAACAGTTGAAGTCTTTTTTTTTTTACATTTGTATACTAACTGTTTTTTTATGTACCTGTAAACGTTGCTATAACAATGAAAAATGCGTATATTGCAAACAAAATAATCATTTTTAAATTCATTTTTATTAAGAAACTATACTCTAATATTATCTTAAAATATATAAATTTTGAAATGCTAAATTAAATATGTACCTTTGGGTTTTAAATTAAAGTCAAGCACCAAAAATGTTGAATATTATACTAGAGCAACAGTACAATTGCTTACATTATATACAGAGATATGGGCTGCATAAAACTATTTGACTCATATGACAGGGAAGGAAGTGTACATTGTTGTTGTGTTCATTATTTGTTCATCATTTTAAATGTACTATTATTGTGTATACAGTACGTGTTCATATTTTGCTAAAATGTTTGGCCAAAAAATTACAATTTGTCTACTATTGTTACAAATAAATAACGTAAAAAAACTACAAAAATATGGTTTTTGGTTCTAGAACCTGGTTTAATACAGTCAAACTATACCTTTTTTTAGCGACTTATTTATTTAAGTGTTCCATCAAAATGAATAACATATTATGAGTCTATTTAAGTTTTTCACACTAGTGGTGTAAAATGTATAGGTATTTCTGAATGAGTTAGATTAAAAATATACAATTCAATCAGTATTATAAAGGACTAGTTATTTTTAAAGACTAGCCAATGGCCGAAATAAATCAATTTTTGATATTGCATTGTTTTTTTAACATATCGTTTAATAATGCAAGACTGTCTTTACTAGTCATTATGCACTATGGTTTCATATACATTTTTAAACGTTTTAAGCCCGGCATTTTATTTGTTTAAGTTTAATATCGATACACTAAACACTCCATCTTAGCCTATACATTACCGCAACTTTTTAAGATTAACAATTTTACAAATTTTGAATACATCATGCAATAATGCTGTGGAAAAATAATTAGATCAGTTCTTAATACCGATGTACACAGACTTGAACCCAGAAAATACCATTAACTCTTTTTACCCATTACATTTTTTTGGCACAGTTTAAGAATCTAATGTATGAAATCTAATTGTGAAGATAGATCTAGAGCAATGGCAACACTGTTATTTCACCGCCGTATTTGATATTAATTAATTATATTTATTTTTTAGACATCTTTAGGAATTTAAAAAAATTGTAGCCATTTGAAAAAAACTATATCGATCTTGTTTATAATTGTAATTATATTATTGTAAAATCAATGTTCTATAAAATAAGAAAATAAATTGTTCAAACATTTAAGTACATAAAAGGCCAAAGTTAATACTTGAGGTTGGAGCTTGTAAAAACAAATCTATTAAGAACATGTTGAAGCTAACTTATGTCTTTTGGGACTATATAAACAGCTCGGTCCAGGAACAATATTATTTTATATAGACATGTTTTTAATTGAGTTTTATTTTGCATTATCAAAATTAGTTGAGCTTAAGTCATCATAACGTTACGCATATCTGTTTTTTTTTCAAACTTATGTATTTGTACACTCATGTACAAATACATATTTTTTTAGTTTATTATGAAAACACATAATATTTGAACAATACACGCGCACGATATTTTCAACTATGACGTCTACAAAACCAAAAATGGTCTATGACCCGTTTTTATTGTTTAAATTCATAAAATATAAACAATTGTGACTAACCATAACACATGTTGTATTCAGTAACGTAGCCAGAAATTTGTGGGCCCCAGTTCCAGTATATAGTTATAAATATCCTGCTTAAAAATGTACATTTGTATCGTATGTACATTTATTCGATTTTTAAATAGGTAAAGGTTGAAGTGTTTACATTTTTGACCTAACAAGATCAAAAATGACCTAAAATCATTTTTAGGTGAGATCTGATTTATAAACTATCTCTATAAAAATATCACATCAGCGGCATGATGAAGTGTGAGATAATATGTTACTCGAAGAAATTTGTCCGACGATTCAAAAGCTCTGTATAAAACTTTTGTGAGCGTATTTAGAAGCTTAATGACTAAAAATTAGACAATAAGGTAGTTCTTTAAAATATAGGTAATAATTTTAATCTTGACGCAGATAGATTATCACCCTTCCCTCGTCCCAGAATTTATTGATTTTAAATGGTTATTTTATTTTATAACTCACATTTACATGTATTTAGTAATTTGGTTTTGTTAACAAAACAGAATACGTTTCAAAAAACAACAAATCATATAATATGGTATTTTTTATGTAGATATTGCGCGTAGGCACTTTTAGCAACTTAAATCCTAAAAAATGTAATTGAAAACTATGGACATTTTGTTGTTTTGTTATATATGACTACTTGTAAAGGTAAAATAGGACGTTTGTGTACTTGTGAACTCTTCGTTCTCACTTTACCCCGACCCCATTGTACTGTTTTTTTACATTCTAGACATGAATCATAAAACTCATTTTGTTTTTTTCATTCAAACTTATCGCTTAGTTTATATAACGTAAATACATTTTAAAGTAAAATATTGAGTTGTTTTTTTGTTCGCTTTTTAAAAAATTATTAACAAAAACAAAATTATGCCACGATAAATGCCACGGCTTCAAATGTTTTTTTAAAACTTAAATCAAAGTATTCTTAGTGACAGTACGTTTGAAGTAGAAACACAGGTTTTTGTATAAAAATAGATCCTACATACCGCATACGATATAAAAATTGTAGAAAAAAATAAAATATCAAAATAGATTCTCCTTTTCTATTTAACACATTTTAGCTTAATGTTAGGTTTTAGTAAAAAATTGCTTATACAACGCGCCTTTATAAATGCTAGTACAAATACAATTTTTATAACTTTTTTTTTTTTTACGAAGAACAAGTGGTATTTTGGAAAATCTTGTTTTATTATATATATAAATATATGATTTACAATATAAAAAAAACAGTACAGTGGGGACGGGGCATAGTGGGGACGGAGCATAGTTGGGTCGGGGCATATTGGGGACGGGGAGGTCACAGGTTTACAGGAATTTTTAAATCTGAAAGTGATAAAATCACTTTCGAAAAAACGCTTCGATGCAAATCGGTAGTTAGTATTTTCAAGCCAGTACAGTCCAAACCAAGCACAGTATAAACCAGCAAAGTTAGAAAGTTTTAAATGAAGGTTCTGTATTTACAAATGAGCATCAAAGCGTTAATTTGAAAGTGATTTTATCCGAGAGGACTAGTACAGTAGAGTATTGGCATAATGTAATCAAAGCAATGAGGAAACGGAGAGGTCACAGGTCTACAAGAATTATTATAAATAAAAGTGATAAAATTGAATAAAATCGCTTTCAAATAAACGCTTTGATGCTCATTTGTAAATACAGAACCTTCATTTAAAACTTTCTAACTTTGCTGGTTTATCCTGTGCTTGGTTTGGACTGTACTGGCTTGAAAATACTAACTACCGATTTGCATAGAAGCGTTTTTTCGAAAGTGATTTTATCACTTTCAGATTTAAAAATTCCTGTAAACCTGTGACCTCCCCGTCCCCAATATGCCCCGACCCAACTATGCTCCGTCCCCACTATGCCCCGTCCCCACTGTACTGTTTTTTTTTTTTTTTGCAAAAACTTAGTGGACCAAATAACACATATACAATGTTTTGTTATATTTTGTTGGAATGGTCGACGATTCATGTTTCAATCGTTTGTACTCCATAGTTTAAATTATAATCGCTTATTCTCAATAAAATTAATATTTATGTATTATATACTTCCATTAAAGCAATCACACACAAACTATTTATACTTCACAGATTATATTATTTCAAAGCTATATTATACTTCTATTTTACTAGATTGACAATGTACAAAATAAAATGCAACTAAAAAAACCTTTTCATAGATCCTTAAAATGTAAAGGGTGGGATAGTGAAACGGATTTTACCATTTAAATACATTAGAAAATCGCCGTTTTACTGCCTCATCCTGTATAATAATTTCTTGTTATTTTCTAAAGAAAAATCGATTTTCTTACATTTAAATTAAAATAAATCGTATACTGGTACTGTGATGGAGAAAACAATAAATTTTACCTACATTTATTACTTATTAGTTAAATATTACTAACGTGTATAGCCACAAGCAAACGGTGTGCAGGGGGTTTTATACGAAGGTGGAAATTTAACACCGAAAATTATGTAAAGAAAATATTTTTTTATAATTAAATATTTTTTACAATATGTAAATAAAAATAATAATACTCGGAACGACAGCGGATTGACACTCCGGATCAATTTTAAATCAATAACTGATAATCGAATTATCGAATACTGACTGGCAACTACCTACAAATGTCATCACCCCCCGACCTCTCTCTCACACTCCATGACCGGCTCGGGCCGATAAGGGGTTTTTCGTTCCCACCTGTACCGTGTACATAAGACGGTGGACAGTTGATAACGCGATCGGGCGTTTATATGGTCACGATCAAATATTATTTTGTCTCGAAAATTGATAATTACAACAACTATACACTATAGTATAAACAACTCATGT